TAAAAGATCTATCGACTGTTAAAGTCCTGCTACAAAAACGTGAAACATCCTGTATAATTGATTGTATAATAATAGAATTGTGTCGTTTGTAAAATTTTCAAATGCAGCAGTGTTCATTTCTTGATAATAATTTTGGTGAAATAGGCATTTTAACTCGTCATTAATTTTCTTTTTTATAACTGTGTGTTGGATAGGTATTTTGTAACTAAAAAAATATTTCGGACTTGTTTGGGAAGGTTACAACATGATATCCGAATCGTGACTCTTTTTTTTAAAGACGCACAGTTAAGCCCGAAAGCTTGTAGTGCAAAACTAACTTTCAGTATTTACTGTCGAATATCCATAGACACCACCCTGTACAGGGTGGCAAATTTGCGTGTTATTATAGGCTATCTCAGAAACTATAAGAGATACGAAAAAAGTAGGTGCCATGTCCCGGTCTCTTTTTTCGAGACTAATTCAATCCCGCAAACATCAAACCTCTATCTTCTTTTGTTTTTAAGTTATAGCCAAAAAGTCAAATTTTCGTGATTTCAAAAAATGCTCATATTTNTTTGAGAGATATAGGTAAGTAAAAATTATATACAGGTGGTTCATATTGTTCAAAAACAACTGTGTTGATTTATTTTTAATTTTAAAATGTTTTTATTTAAATTTGTGAATCAATACAAATTACGTGAAACATTATCTTGATATGTGTGATGAATTAAAGTGAAATTTAACACAGCTGTAAAAGCGTGTTAAAAAAGGTGAGGAGAATAGCATGATTTGACGAAATATGTGCAAATATAACTGAACGGAAAAATGAAGCCTACAGGAAAATTCAACAACGTAGGACCAAAAAAAAAAAACAGAAAAATAGAAAAGCGAACGCATAAAGGAAGTTTAAAACTAAAAGTTAACACTGCGAAAAGCTTTTTTTTGATCATGAAAGCATTAGGACAAAAAGGACGTGAAACCAAAGTTTCTATTTTTCTGAACGTGGCCGGAGAAGAAGCAAGCCGCATAATTGTCCGATTTAAATTTTTTAATCGATTTTAAGGTGAAAATGAAGACTTTGAACACTTTTTGAACATTACCTCAAGCATGTAACTTTGAACAATTAGAAGAAGGGCTATTGAAGGACAAAATCGTTATAGGAATAAATGACAAAGAATTACAAGAACGGTTGCTCCGAACATCTAAACTTGCTTTGAACACTGCCATAGAGTATTGCAGAGCTTCGGAAGTGACTAAAAGACAACTAAAAGTATTAACTAAAGAAGAAGGAGAAGGAAATATGGTTAGTTACATCAAGCAAGGAGGAAAGAAAATGGATGGAAAAAACAAGAACAAGAAAGAAAAGGAGTTTAAGTGCAAATACTGCAATCGAAATCACAAGCCAAGGCAGTGTCCAGCGAACGGAAAGACTTCTGAAGAGGTCTGTAAGTTCAATACGAAACAAATAAAAAGAATATCCAAGATGTCAAAGAAAGCCATAATGCAGAAGAAGAAAGCACCGAGGAGGATGATAAGTATATTAGATTAGATTCCATAATCAATAATGATAAAAATGTTAAACAATGGACACAGAAAATAGATGTAAATGGAAAAAATATTGTTTTCAAACTAGATGCGGGTAGCGAATATTCAATTCTGCCATTTGATTTAATTCAAAGTGATTTAAAAAGCAATCTAGTTTTAGAAAAAACAAACACAGTGTTAGTAAACTAAAACTAGAACTAACACTATCACTAGACCTAGACCTAACGAAAGTTTCGGGTTAAGCCGAGCGTCTTTTGAAAAAATGTTTGACAAAATTTAAAGTAAGATATGGAATTAGAATGTTGATCTTAATTTAACTCCTGATCAAGTCTACAATGCCGATGAAATTGTTCTGCAAAGTTTTGCCAAACAAAACATACATTTACAGAGAAGAAGCACCAGACACAAAAGTGTCCAAAGTCAGGGTTACTATTATGCCTTGTGTACATATACTCTAGCTTTGTTTATAAGCAAAACGAGATCACTTAGGGCATTAAAAATGTTGATCTACCACTCATATACAAAAACCAAAGGAAACCATGGGTTAAAGAAGTATTCCTAGAATGGTTCCACAATGATTTTGTCCCAGCAGTACGACGTTTTTTTTTTTTGACCACCTAGAAACTTCCGCCGAAAGCGCTTCTCATTTTAGATACCGCACCTGCACAAACACTTTTGCAGCCTAATTGTACACCACTGCTTCGTATAGATCAGAATGCGATCCAAATGATAGAGTAATTATAAAAAAAAAACCTCTTGAATGCAGTTTTGCGTGAAGATAATATCACTAAAACGTTGAACGACATGAATTTAAAAGATGCTGTATTTACCGTGACTGAGGCTTGGAATGGTGTACGTAAGAGGACAATAAATCGTCAGGCGGAAGTTGTTGCCATCATTAGATAATAATTAAGTAGAAGCTGAATGAGGCTTAAAAGAGTTTTCAATTACAGAACTGAAGAAGATGCTACAAAATCGAGAAGCAAACTTCACAGAGCAAGATATTGAAGAGTAGTTTGGGAACGGACCGAGCAACGAGCCGATGATGATTGATCTAATAAATTATGAGGTTCAATACGTTTGCGTTCATGGTGATATGGTAAGAAGTCGTGGTAGAGCTTTACGTAAAACAAGGTATGTATAATAATTAAATAAAAATATGTATTTATCATATCGTCAACGGCGTTTGATAATATAACACAATTATTAAATATGCATTATTTATTTATATGAATCTTTTAGTACTTGTAAGATAAATTGTCCTGCTATCATTAGACAATTATTAGACAAATATGAATGTGTCATCAGTAAGTAGGCATGATTATGTATATTTTATAGTATATCCAATAATTCCATATTATATAACCATGTTCCTTATACACTCATTACTTTTAGGTGATGTTTAATCATTTACCATCTAATCGTAAATTAACTTCTGATGAAAAATGTATGGTCGAGGGTTTGTTGAATGTTCGTGGAAATAAAAAGCTGATTCAGCAAAAAATATTGAATTTAACTGGAAAATTAAGTACATTAAAAGATTTATCAAATATTATATAATATAGTATGAAAAACGTTAGCAACGATTTGATACATGTTGTGAAGGAATTGAAAGACATTCACAGTGAGTACATAGATAACTATTAGAAGTACAACGTAGAATAGCAACGATGCAATAAAATTGTTATATACAATTTTTTTTGCAGAATGTAACATATGCCCCAAGAGCAATGAATGGTGGTCCTTACAAGTTATTAAATATAGGATTTACAGTATTTATTTATAATGATTGTAGAGGATTCAAATGGTCAAAGTGAAATAGTAGCAGTTGTTATAACAGCGCACGAGGACAAAGAAACATTTTCTTGGTTATTGAACACCTGTACAGAAGAGAATTCTGATTGTGAAAATCAAATAAAATGTTTCATGGGTGATAAGGATCTACTACAAAGAAATATGATAAAAGACAGTTTTCCTCAAGCCCAAGTATATATTTGTTTGTTCCATATTTTAAAGACAATGAAGAGAGAAGTATCTAAAGGAAAAATGCATATCACAAATCAGGAAAGAATTGACGCTGTAAAACTATTATAGAGTCTTGCTTACAGCCAAAGTGAAGAAGAATACAAGAAAATGTATCAATTACTGCAGGAGATCGCTTTACAATCATTAATTAACTTCTACAACAAAAACTGGCATAATATAAGACATGAATGGACTGTTTATAGTATGTGCCACGGTAATTTGTTAAATAGAACAAACAACAGATTAGAATCAATGAATGCCAAAATAAAGCAAGTAGTAAAGAAAAACAGCAGCTTCTTGCAATTTGTGAAAGATTTTTTTATTTCTTTGTATTCTCACGAACATGAAAGACATAGCCGAACAGCTTGATTAATATGAACAAGGCCTATTACGTTGTTTAGTAAAGATAGTTGCGAATTTAAGTATGAAGAATATCTAACACCTTATGCCAGCCGATATGTTCAGTTTCAAATTGTAGCCTCAAAAGAAGTAAAAGTGACTTTGAAAGTCTGCAAGATACATATACAGCGTGTATCTGAATGACTGCAACAAACTTCAAGGGGTGATTCTTTAGTAAATTTTAAGGGTACTTTGATATATGAACCATGGACGACTTCGGCTCCCCTAAGGAGCTAAACCCCTCCAAAAATGGCGGAAAATTTTGGTTTAATTTTTTTTTCTCAAAAATCATAAACGCTAGGAAAAGGAAATTTGGGGAATATGTTTCACTCATAATATATACCCTTATCAATATTATCTAAGAGTAATAAACGTTTCTAAACTAAATTTACTATTAGAAACTGCAAAAATAAATGTAGGGTTATGACAGAATAAAAAAGTTCTGGGCAAACAAACTTTAGGAACAGCCTGTATAGCATTGTTCCCGTGGACCGATCCAACTCATAAATTGCTTCACAAATTTTACATGACATTGATTTATAATACTGTACCAAATTTCAGCGCTTTACTGTAAATAGTGTTTAAGATATTTGAAAAAATGTGTTAAAATTTCTTAACTTTGATAGCCTGTATCTTTGAAATTTGAAGACTTTTACTAATTTTTTTTTTACATGAATCGTCATCATTTAATTTTTGACGATATATTGCGTTATATTTTGATTTTGTTGTCATTTCCTTTCACCAAGCAACCAAACTTACGTACTCAACCAGTACTTCAAATCTGGTGGGTATCCAAATGTCATATTTACCTATAAGATGACCGTAAACTACAGGTGGATAAAAGATTCGTCGACGTTATCTTTCAGCTACAATTTTCATTGGCAGATAAATCGTCTTAACTAGATATTGATAAACCAGCCCTTAGTTCTAATTTTAGCTTTATCTTTAATGTTTAATAACTTATTATGATATTCATAAACCCAGATAATTTATGTCGTAGGTTTTAATTTTGTATCATAAAATTTTATTTCCAATTATTTAAATAAACACAATTTTATTTACCATTTTATAAAAAGTAATAAGATTTTTAATAAATTTGAAATATTAAGTTTTTCGCTCTAAATGTAACCACCTGTATTTGATAATTAACATAAAACTATATTACAAAAGAGTTACCAGTATTCTTAAAAAAAAATTACTTCGTTGCTTCTGGAGGACAATCAGGTTGGCTGCTTGGATGAGCAGCTCGGAACGCCGGATGATTTTCCAATTCTCTATCGATCCTAAGAATAATAGGAAACGGTCTCAAATCCACATGAAACCTCCTCGCATTAAAAACTTGCGGAATCAAACAGCAATCAGCTAAAGTAACATCATCTCCAACACAATACTTCCCCGCACTACTCGAAAGCAATTTTTCCACAGCCCTAAATCCCCTGGTGATCCAATGTTGGGCCCATTCGTTCTTCTTTTCTTCCCCCACGTGTATCAAAACTATCAAGTTTTGGAGGGGTTGGATTCCAGAAGCTATTACTTCGCATATTTCACGTACCTTTGATCTTTTTATGACGTCGTGTGGCATTAATGGTCGTTGAGGGCGGGATTCTTCCAAGTAATGAAGGATGTTTAAGGATTCAACCAAAGTGTGCCCATCAATGTGTAAAGCTGGGACTTGTTCCATTGGATTTACCTCACGATATTCATTTGAATGTTGTTCTCCACCCGATTTTATTAATGAGACAGGTTTAATCTCGTATGGGATTTCTTTTAAATTTAAAGCAATTCTTACTCTCCAACTACAAGAACTTCTCCAATACGAATATAAAATTGGCTAAAAAATAATTAATGTAAGTAAATAATAATCTGTATTGTAAAGATAAAGTTATTAATAAACCTTCTTTAAGCAAATACTAAATTGTAGATAAAGAAAACTTTGTGTGATTACCTTTCCAATTACTGACATTATATCGGTTTGTTGATGATTCCTTTATCTTTGAATTTGATGAAGTTGTTCGTAAAAAATACCACCGCCGGTCGATATGGGATTAAACAACACTGTGATCTTGGAGTCTAAACCACTCTATACAGTCTCTTAAACACCGGTTAAACTGGTTTTCTATGTTAATTTATTCGCATATTACCGAGGGAAATATTTAGAATTTTTGTATAGCTTGTTAATCCGGTTTAATTCGGAAAAAAATAATAGTGTATTTTAAACAGCGGGTTGTCTCTTTCGCACCCTAATCCTCCAGTCAATACAAATTCAACTGTATAACAAAATAAATCCCTAACTTACTCTGTTAGGGATAACATAACCCCCAAACCTGGAAAGCAAGAGATTTCTTGAGAAATAAATTGATAAACATTCTCCATTTGATAAAGATGCCTCAGATTAGTATATATCTGGATCCCTGTTAAAAATTGATTACCTGGAACTTAGAACGTTAAGTAGGTCACTTTGGTTGCATCATTATATTTTACTGTTGATTTCATTTCAAGAATTATTTTCTAATTAAAGGTGTAATAGAATAAATTAAATCTATAATAGAGTAAAGGGGATATAATAAAAGAAATTTTTTATTTATTTGTTTATATAGGTGTCCTACATAAGCAACAAAGTACATAAATGGCATTAAGGAGCTAAGATTAAGATGAAGGATCTTTTACAATTTTGACATATTTGTCAACTTCATAAAAAATCCTTTAAAATGAGTCCAAACTCGACATATTTAACTTTAATATTAATGAAGATACAATCACTCCCGGTTTGAAACGTCAATTTTCACATATTTGTCATCTTCATTAAAAAAACCTTTAAAGTGAGTTCAAAGATGACGCACTTATCTCAAACAACGAAAAAGAATAAAAAAACTTTAAACCCAATGTTAGCAACAATGACGATAACAATTGAAATTTTAAATATTAATACCAACCTTAACTTTTTTTTATTATATTTTTGTTTTTGTGACCAATATTAAAGCATTTTATAAAAATTAAGAATATATCCAGGTGACGTTGACATTTCAAACCGGAAGTTGCTTATATCTCGAGTAATATTGGAATTAAATGTATCATGTTTGGATTCATTTTAAAGGATTTTTCACAACGATTACAAATATGTCTAAATTGACGTTGACATTCTTAACCGGAAGTTGGCCGTAACTTCATTAATGTTGAAGATAAATATGTCGTGTTTGTACTCATTTTAAAGGATTTTTAATGAAGATTACAAATATGTCAAAATTGAAATTGACATTTTAAACCTGAAGTTAGTTATTATATAACAGACACATGGACAACTTCATAGTGTTCTTTCATGATGTATTCTTTATTAAAAAACCCTTTAAAATGAGTCCAAACAAGACGCACTTATCTCAAAGAACAAAAAAGTTAGAATAAAAAACATTAAACNCACAAATTCAATGTTACTAACTGTAACCAAAACCAACTTCACAAAAATTTGTCAAAATTAAGTGTCAGTTTTATAAAACGTCGTTTTCTTTACGAAAATTAATTAATTTATGCTTAAATCATACGAAAAAGCGAATTTGTTTAAGTTTTTTTTTATGTCAAACATTTAGAAACTCCTAAAAAATTGAATTAAATTGACGTTTTTTGAACTTTTAACGTTTCAAATAATTATTATTAGTCTGGTCAAGATGGCTACCCGTGAATAATGATTATTATTCACCGCTATTATTCACTCCGTGAAAAATGACTACCATTTTGTTTTAGAAAACTCATTCATAAGGTATATATTATAAGGTAGTCGTGGACAAAATATGTTTTTGTAATTCGCGACGGTAATGAAAGCTATAACAGTACTCAAACGGGTGCTGTAATGAGACTCCTTACAACATCCGATGCTGTAATGAGACTCCTTACAACATCCGATGCTGTAATGAGATTTTAGTAACATTTTATGGAACCAGTTCAAGTTGGTGACATTGGGTCATTAATTTTTCTAGTTGTCAATGTGACAATTTTTGTCTGTGGATGTTTAAACACGATCTCAGCATCGAATATAAGATCCACAATAATGAGGACATTGAAAACTCTGAGCAATTTCTCTTATTTTGGGAGGTGTACATGAAACATTTTTGTCAGGTGAAAACATTTTGTGTTTTGACAGTTTCTAATTGTCAATTCAAATTTCTATTTTCAAGTGTTGCGGTGTTACCAACTGTTACATACCTATTTCCCTACATTGTCAAAATTTATTTTATTTTTGAGAAAAAAAAAGGATAAAAACGCGAATTACAAAAAATAGCATAAAAAACACGTTTCATAAGACTTAGAGCACTCATTCATTAAAAAACTCGTGGCTTCGCCACTCGTTTTTAACTTGAATTCATGCATTTCAAGCATGTCTTACGAAACTTGTTTTTTAATATACTATTATGACAGTGTTAAGAAAAAGATAAATAAATTCAGTATTCAAGAAGGTATTACAGTGTTACATAAACGACACATACAGTAAAAAATTATAGTGAAACTTCATAAAGGTACAACTTTTAATATGTTCACAATCTGTTCTCAATATTATCCTCCTGTGCCAAAATTTTAAAAAAGAAAATTAGTAAAATCATGTTATGGCCACATAACATTTTCCTTTCCACATTTTCAATCTAATTACCAAAAAAATACAAAGAAAAATATTAGAGTTAAAACTTCTAAATACTTTTAGTTCAAACTTAAATATAATATCCATAACTTATTATGATATTCATAAACCCAGATAATATATGTCATAGGTTTTAATTTAGTATCATAAAATTTTATTTCCAATTATTTAAATAAACACAATTTTATTTACCATTTTATAAAAAGTAATAAGATTTTTAATAAATTTGAAATATTAAGTTTTTCGCTCTAAATGTAACCACCTGTATTTGATAATTAACATAAAACTATATTACAAAAGAGTTACCAGTATTCTTAAAAAAAAAATTACTTCGTTGCTTCTGGAGGACAATCAGGTTGGCTGCTTGGATGAGCAGCTCGGAACGCCGGATGATTTTCCAATTCTCTATCGATCCTAAGAATAATAGGAAACGGTCTCAAATCCACATGAAACCTCCTCGCATTAAAAACTTGCGGAATCAAACAGCAATCGGCTAAAGTAACATCATCTCCAACACAATACTTCCCCGCACTACTCGAAAGCAATTTTTCCACCGCCCTAAATCCCCTGGTGATCCAATGTTGGGCCCATTCGTTCTTCTTTTCTTCCCCCACGTGTATCAAAACTATCAAGTTTTGGAGGGGTTGGATTCCAGAAGCTATTACTTCGCATATTTCACGTACCTTTGATCTTTTTATGACGTCGTGTGGCATTAATGGTCGTTGAGGGCGGGATTCTTCCAAGTAATGAAGGATGTTTAAGGATTCAACCAAAGTGTGCCCATCAATGTGTAAAGCTGGGACTTGTTCCATTGGATTTACCTCACGATATTCATTTGAATGTTGTTCTCCACCCGATTTTATTAATGAGACAGGTTTAATCTCGTATGGGATTTCTTTTAAATTTAAAGCAATTCTTACTCTCCAACTACAAGAACTTCTCCAATACGAATATAAAATTGGCTAAAAAATAATTAATTTAAGTAAATAATAATCTGTATTGTAAAGATAAAGTTATTAATAAACTTGCTTTAAGCAAATACTAAATTGTAGATAAAGAAAACTTTGTGTGATTACCTTTCCAATTACTGACATTATATCGGTTTGTTAATGATTC